TGCTGACGCTGTTTTCTCAGGTTGTCAATTTACGAGGAGTCAAAACGTCAAGACTTTTGCGACTTCTCACTCGCCTTGTATCGTCAAACGAGTGATCGGAAACCGGACCGGAAATCTCCGACCGGGAGTACGTGACCTCGAGGGGATCGGAACACCGAGGGCACATCTGCCACGGTTAGTACGTGAACCTGACGGTCAAGTCGCCATGTCGAACTACACGCAGATCATTGGTTCTGCGCAACATGATCTCAACGACATCAACAAGATCCTCATTACGTTGAGAGAAAATGGGAAACAAGCAGCGATCCCGGCCATGTACAAGGAGTACGACCCGACCATCAGCAGCCAGCCCGACAGCACGGTCAACAAGTGGCATGCGATTGGGATCAGTCCGATCGCTGCGGCCTCAGCCTGCTACTTAGGTAAGGTACCATCGAACCGGTCCGAGGTGGAGGCGATCACACTATACCTCCAGATCTTGGAATTGATCAAGAACCAGGAAGAGCTGAACACTGGGGCCAAAAGGTTCTTGGACAAGTGCACCACCTACATGAAGACCTTTGTCCAACTGGCATCTCGGAACAATCACAAAGTTCTTGGGTTTTGTACATCGGAATGTATCAACGGATTGGGAAACATGTGGGAGTACATCAAGAACTTCCATGTGCCTCACCCAATTCGAGTCGAAGGATCGTTCACAGCTACTTCGACATGGGCATGACCTGGCAATCGGAGTCAACCCAGAACACGTTCAATGCGATGCTCGACGAATGGCAGCGACAAGTCATCCATCTTGGGCATGCATGGAGGTGCTACAACCAAAAAGTCGACGATGAGGGTGAGATGATAGAACCTATGACATTGGAAACGACAATCAATGACCTCATCGAGCAGAACACCAAACTGGGCCGTGAAAGAGCTGCCGCGGTGAACCACTTCACCTGCATTCTGGCTCTGTCGCCACCAATCTTCAGAGCCAAGGCTAAGCTGGAGAGGTATTGACGGTTCTCCGATACCGCAAGGGCAAACATGAAAAAGATTAACGACTACTTTGCCAAGATTCAATATTCTCTGATGCTTACTTCAGAAATTCTGATGAATCATGGGTACAATGTCATCAACGTTGAGGACGGCAACCACGGAGAGATCATGAAAAGAAATAGATGCATTTCTGCCCTGAGAAATTTCATGACGACTCTCTCAGAAAATCAGGCTGGTGGAGGACAACCAGGGGTACAAGTGGCATCAAGCGAATGGAGAAAGGTCCTGAAGTTTGGTGATGGAGTTTGGCCGCCGGAACCACCCAGATCGTGGATTCCAGAATGGGTGACGATCCCAGATCCAATAGTGCCTGTACCGAGGATCAACAGGTTCGGACCAAGGCCACCTCCTGGACCACCACCTGGATACAAAGCACCGCCACAGCCTTATCCATCGGCGAAACCACCACCGCCGAAGGCAAGACCAACATCACCATCGGCACAGACGGCACCTTCAGGGCCGAGTGCATCGGGATCTCAAGCGTCAGGTTCAGCTGGACCACCACCGCCACAGGCGGCACCCAAGCCTGCGGCGAAGCCAATGCCAAGACGTGAGACTCCTGCAACGGACTATGTTCCACCATTGACACCTTCAAACGTGATCCTGTATTGCAGGGCGTTGACGGACTACACGGGCACTCAGGTGAGATCATTCCTGAACATCCACGTGAACTGAGTTTGCTCTGTCGTACGTCCAAGGACCAATGGCGAACAGGGTGCAATCAACTTGGCGTCAATACCTTAGAAGGGTAGCCACGTACACCTGCTTGTGCTTCGGACTTACCAACGCAAGGGAGATCGGTGAATCATCCTACCCCTTCAGCGACATGGAATGGCTGAGGATTTACAACGCCGCAACGAAGCGTGCTTACATAGTCCCGTTTTTTTATAACTAGTTATGTAGAGTTATGTTAATTATGTAAAGTTATGTTGAGTTAGCTAACTAGTTATAACTCTTACTAATTCTGTTTTTGTGTTGTTTTGAATGTAAGAAAAAATGCTTTCTACTTCAAGGAAAAAAGGTTTGCTGGCATCAAGAGGCTACCAAAGCTTTAATTTTCAAACAAAAACATTGAGCCATATATATGGGACAATTGTCCAGGATGAATGTCATGGTATGTTCAAAAAGAAAATATGTAATTCAATATGAACATTGTGTAACAAAGAATGAAACCAAATAAGTACCAAGAATCATTTGAAATTAAGTTGTTTATTCAAAAAAGAATGAATCCGTATTTTGTAGCAAAAGGAAAATAAGAGTAAGCAACACTGATGCAGACTCTGATGAGCCACCCCCATCTGCTGGATCGCTGAGCTCTGCTGCATCTGCGCTTCTCTTCTCTTTGCCTTTGCCAGAAGCCTTGCCACGCTGTCCTTCTCTGCCCCTCTTTGCAGCTGGAGCGCGCTTTTTGGTTAAGAGCTTGAAAGCACCGAGGGCTTGCTTTGCGTCTTTCTCTTGCTGCAGCTGACGACACAAAGAGTCAATGTCAACTGGCTGAATAGCCACAACATCAAAAAGATGTAAGAGCCGCACAGGGCCAACCTTGAGAGTGGCCATTTCCCAGTCGTCGGCTAATTTCACCAGTTCAACACAGAAGCGCTTATCCCCCAGGCACGTCAAAGATCCGCCTTTGCTTTTCTCGCAAGCCAAAGTAAACAGAGCACCTTCAGGCACTTGTTCTCTTGGCAAAACGGATAGGCCCACCAAAACTGCATCGATTGGTTTTTTCCGGGAGTTGTAAGCAACAGCCGCATAGCGCTTTACCCTTGCCGTGGGCGCAGTAAATTGCAAAAGCAGGGGCTCCTCCATTGGGCACGAAGGGCGGGGCGCCTGTCTCATAATGGTCTCCAAAACCAAATCAATCAAGGTTGAATACGCTTTGCGCTGCCGCCCTGGAAGGCCATGGGGGCATGCGTCGGGATGGCATTCAGCCCACAAAGGCCCTGGCATTTCTGGAGCGCCGGCAAAGCTATCATCAGCTTCAGGCAACAGGTCACAGCTTGAGTCCTTAAACTCTTGGCCCAACCTGTGGAAATCTTCGAGATTGTCGACCACAATGTCTCTGCGCAAGGGAAACCCAGAGGAAGCACTCATCTCCCAAAAACCACCACAAACTTTTTCACTCTCGAGCAAGCGAGAACGATCGCTAGCCTGAGCAGCTTTGGATTGCAAATTTTGGGCTCTTGCAAGGGTAGCATATTGCCTGCGGGTATCTAGAGGCAACAGCCTCCACTGCCGCATGAGACCATTGGCGGGGTTGAGCCCAGTTTCCTTTGCAAAAATGTGTATACCATTTTGAGAGCGGCCTCTTTTTGCACCGTGTGCCCAAGCCGGCCTACCTCTATTACTCTTTGGCTTGCAAATTTGTCTTTCCTTGATAGCCTTCAATCGCCAAGTCTCAGTTAACCGCCGGAAGTGGTAAACCACATGCTTTGCTGCCAGCGTGCTGAGTTTGGGCTTGGGTCCTTTGCGGTCACACCAGCGGTTTAGTCTTGCAAAGTCTCTTTCAATGCATATGGATGTGGGAACAACCCGGTCGAAGACCTCTGCTAGAAACTTCAAAGTGTCTTCATGAAGCAAGGCTTCTTTGCTTTGGATAATTACGCGCAGTTTCAAACTGAAGCAGTCAAGAAAACAAGCTGGAGCCTGGAAGAAAAGGTCGGCAGCATTCTCTTGCAAGAGTGGGTCGAGCAACTTGATCAATTTCCATGGGTATCGCGTCCAAGGCTCAATCAACTTTCTGTGCAACTGGCCCATGGTTGTAAACAAGCATCTTCGGGTGGCTCGCAATCTGGGCTGCGGCCAAGCAAGGATGGGCCCATAGTGTCCCAGCAGCGGGCTCCAAGCATCAACCCCAAAAGTATCCAGCAGCAAGTCTTCTAACTGAGACTGGGCTTTGGCAGCTGGATTCCGGACAGGGTCGGCGAAAAAACCAGCTGACGCTGGTGGATCATCAAGTTGCCTCTCAGGCTCTGGCTGAGGTCTCTCTGTCTTCCAAGTGCCTCTTTTGAAGAGAGAATAATATATAATCATCACTGGTGCTGTCACAACTGACCACAACATGGTGAACCACTGGCTCTGCGCGTCACCCAAGAAGTGCGTTGCCTTTTTTTGCCTCTTGCGGGCCAACTTTCGCCACACCTTGGTTTGATCCAAGGGAACCCCAAGTTCCTTATCTTCTGCAAGGCCCTCGTCTTCAGACTCGCTAACGTTGGCCTGAGACCCGTTGTCAAAACAACGACGAAACGCCTCAGGAACAACGTTGCAGAAATGTTGCATCGCTGAAACCAGGTTGATGCAGGGCGCTACGGTAGTCCATTTATTCAATGCAGGAGCAGTGAGAGCACGTAGAAAAACGGCTTGGACCAACTTCACAGCTTTTTCAAGACTCTCGCCTTCGCTGCTGCAACATCCTCGGCAGACATGCACCGGCGGTCCTGCCAGGGGAGCAGAATCAAGAATCAAAACTGGAAAATGTAACTTAGCCAGAGGCATCCTGGAACTCTCCTTTGGGCACACCAACCCCCCTATCATCCGGAAAATTGCGTTACACTATTGATTTAATGCTTCCAGTTGCGTCATGCGTTGACATTCATAGCTATTTAATCCCCTTGGAAAACTTACTTATTTTACATTCCACCTGAAAAACAAACCGTTACAAACAGCAACTCCCCTTGCAAACCAACTGACAACAAAATGAAGCACAGAAGAACTGGATGCGCTGTCTTTTTGACTGCTGTGGAAGAGTCCGCTGGTTGCGGCTCGAAGGTTGAAATCTAACGCTTTGCAAAACCAGGCCGAGGCCCCGCAGCACTTTTAAACGAAACAACAGCTCATTCCAAATGCAGTGGCTTGTTAAATAAGGAATAATACTTGCGTAGCTGCTGCTGCGGGGCAAAGCAGAAAAGGCCTACGGGCAGAAGCGTGTCAGATCCAACCTGGTTGGAAGCCACAAACGCCTAGAGCCAAAGGTTGCCTCTGTACCAAGTGTTGCGGCCTTGCCAGGTCCTGTGGCTGTCAGTGCGATCCGGAGGAGGCTGCAAAGGGCGACCATTCCACACCTGCTGGAGGTACATGGCCAAATCAACATTGCAGCGGAGTGCAAGATCAACCTTGGGCCAAGTTCGAAAAATAAGTATGACGAGTTATTATAATTATTAATTATTATCAATATAGTGAGCTAACCTATGGACCCGCAAAACCTAAATCATCAATTACCATACATGGGGAATGCTCTTGAAAAAACACAATGACAACAACTGTCCGATAGGTCTGCGATCAAACATGCCAAGAAGCACAGCCAAGTCCACGACCATTGCCTTCGTTGATCACAGCGGAAACCAGGCCAAAGGCCGCATCTGTGCCGTTGGCCTTGTTGTACATCGAATACAAGATCCTCTTCGTTGTGTATACCATGCCTTTTGAACAGGCGTGGTGCAACACAGTGGATCCGTTTCCAGACCGGCACTCCACCGTTGTCAAGGCGCTGTGCTCCAGCAGGTGGCTTAACATGAACTTGTAAGTTCCTTCATCCATGCTGGTCTTGCCTACGTCCACGCATACCATAAGGGGCGTCCATTGCTGAGGTCTTCCGGTAGGAGAGGTAACTTGGTCGCACAAATGCGTGTTCAGGTTGGTCAGCTTGACCGCCACCTCCCAGCATCCAACCCTGACAGCATGATGCAGCAAAGTCATGCCGTTGGAATCCTTGAAGTGGAGAATCGTTGCCTCTGTGACCGCTGGCTCGTCCAGCATAGGCAACACCGCCAGAGGCGAAGTCCCACACAGGGTTAAGAAGACCTGTTCCTTGAATGTGTCCTTGTTGGCGTCCTCCAAGCTCTTGGCCAACATAGCCTGGCGGTGAAGCCTTTGCTCTTCCAGGAGGTTAACAATGCGTGCCATGGTCTCTCCATCCTGCTTCGAAAAAGCAGCGGGGTCCAACGGCTTCGGCTCCGAGTCCTTGGGCTCGTCAGCATCAGGAGCATCGTCTGCATCCCAGTCGGGCTTCTCTTCCATACCTGCTGCTGTGCACACAAGGACAAGCCCTACAAAAAAAAAAAAGAAATGAAAAAAAGGGTGTGTTATGATGATTTGAATTGGATGAGGAATAAAAAACATTCGAACCAGCACAAGCTGCTGGCGTCTCCCTCAGACGGTTCCTGACCCATGTCAACGTCTGCACGATCTGCGTTTGTCTCTGGATCAGTTGTCTTAACCTTGGCACCAGAGGCCGAAGCTGCGCCCTTCGGACTCTTTGCAGTCTCGGCTGGTGCCTCAGAAGGGGACTTTGGCTGCAAAGTTTTCAGCAACTTGAAGTTCAATTTCTCCAGGTCGTCGCACAAGGATTTCAGCTTGGCTTCCCGAGCTTCTTTGCTGTGGAGCTCATCTGGCACGAGTTCAAACTCGGGCTGAGCCCCTTCCTCGCCTCCATCTCCATGTTCTTGCTTCTGCTTCTTTGGTGGAGTTGGCAAGGAAGCATTAGAGGACTCCACGGAAGGACCTTCGTGGCTGGATTGTGTGGTAAAACCATGGTCAGAGACCGCATCATTCTCACTGGTGATGTACTCAAAAGAAGAATACCCAGAAGAATCGCGGCTTGGTCGTGGCATAGCCTTCACCTTGGGTCTCGAACCATGAGGTCCAACCAGCTCAAAGCCCAACTGCATGGCTTTCTTCCTGAATTTCACCGGCGTGATGATCTCTGCAGCGGCGAAATTCTCGGCTCCTTCCAGAATCTTCGCCTCATTGTCACACAGCCAGTGGATGGGTTTTGTAGGCCGGCGTCTTGAAGCGTTGGGCGGAGGAAGGCTGCTGAGGTCGAGGATATTGCGCAAGGTGTTGCAGTATGCCTCAGCTTCCTGGGCCTTCCATCCTGTCAGGCGCATAATCACAGCGCAAATCAAAGTTGCGCTGCGATGGGCGCCATTTTTACAACAGATGAGCACAGAGTGACCTGCCTTCAAATATTTCACAATTTGATCAGCCACGTCCAAGAATGCCCGGAGGGAATAATCACCGTTGACAAGGCCTGTTCCGTCAATGTAGGGCAGCACCTTGATGTTCATTGAATCTACAACCGCGGGCTTGCGAGCAGCCGGGAGGATCACTGTGATGAAACTTGCCTCCAACAAGGATTGGTCTCCACTGGCTATTTCGCCACCCAGCCAAAGGCTTCCAGAGCACCCTGGCACAGCCTTGGCCATGTCGAACACCATATGCATAGGGTGCCTCATGTCCGACTTACTCACAAAAAAAAATAGTACAGAAACAATATTCCATCCAACAACAAGTACAAATATGAGTCATTGGGTCGGTGGGGGATATTAAAGAAGCAAAATGCTGTTATAAATATTAAATATCATTGTGTTTTTTACGGAATTAAGAATGAAGGCATCTACATATCTATATATGTCTGTTGTTTGTATCATACAACATAGATATTTGATAGTTATTTGTACCATATGTTATCTCCTGGAAAGAGCAAACCAGAACAAACAAAACACTAAACGAACATCTGCACCCAGCGACCGGGAATTGTAAGCATCCCTGGCCCACTTCACAGCTTCAACTCCACCATAGGTGTCAGTAACCAGGCATCTGCTCAGTTCACGTACAACCCTGGTCAAAGCCTCGTCATCCGTCAGCACCTGTGAACCAGGCCAGAGGCCACGAACACTCTGGCAGCGGCTGTCAAGGGGGGCAAAGGCTGCACCCAAGCCATGCTTGCGCAAAACATCGCTCAGGCCTTTCGGGTCCGGTTTGCTGTAGACTGCGGGCATGGTTCTCCACTGGCTTCAACTCCGGAAGCACACGTGCAACGCTTGAGCCCAAAAAATCTATAATGTCAGAAAAATTCACTTGCAGCGCTATAGACACCACTGGCAACCACTTCCCCTAAAAATTCAACCCTGAACAAACAATACCTTTAAACAGGGGTAGAACTTCCATCAAGAAAAAAACACATCAAAAGTGATGAACCCAGTCCTGTCCACGGACCAGCGAAGAACTCCACAAACTCGTCATATATAGCCACGCCTTGCTCCTCATCTCCTTGCTTCACTAAGGCCAAGATTTGCTTCGCGCAAACCTGGCCAAAGGCCCATTCTTCGGCTAAGCCATCTGGAATCCGCTGGAGTATTTGCATTTCCTCCTGCAAAATATTGCGCACCTCGGCAACCAGTTTGCGAACCACGACTCCTGAACGAAGCGTTTTTGCCACAGCGTATGCTCCGGTAAGCACACCCAGCAATTTCGTGATTCTTTCGATGACATTCCCCGTCCTGTGCTGCAAACACAAAAACGGGAAGAACATAGACTGTCTGTCTAGCACAGACTGCAAATGCCCCAATAACTTAATATTGGCAGGTGCAGCATCACAAGTCACTAGAACCAGCCTGTACTTCGCAGGCAAAGTGGACAAACCCGGCCAAAGGCCCCCCAAACCTGCGCAAAGCGCGGGCCACATGGTGGAAGCCTTCTTGTTGGGAATTGCCACAGGCAGTCGAAGAATGTCGAAATCCTGAAACTCATCGGAAAAACCAAAAGTCAACTGGGCATGAGAAGCTAGGATGGACCAGGCGCCGAGGCCGAAGGATTGCAGGTTCACCTCCAGCTCAGTCTCGTCAAAAATCATGTTGGTCATTGCAAATTTCAATCCTGTCCTTTTTCCCTTCTCCACAACAATTTGCATGCCCCTCTGCTGACCTGTCATGACCAGCTGAGCAGCAAAGAATCTGCACTCTGAAGCGTGGCTCGCGCTGCCGCCATCTACCTGGCCAGCAACATGCCTGGATGCCATGTTCTCGCTTGCAAATGCTGCTCGAAGAACTGCATCTGGTGTCCATTGTTTCCACTTGCCTTGTCCTTTCGTTGCAGTGCGCCTGCCCTCCAGGCTGCTGGGAATCAAGAAATCCTTCGTTCTATTGCGGCCACTGCGATTGGTGTGGGCTGCCTGCTGCTTGAACGCCTCAGCTTTCAACCTCTGCCGCTCTTGTTTCTTCCCCACCATACGCAGCAGAGCTGCGCGGCTGCGACGGCGCAAAGGTAAGCCTGGCCGGTGGCCTGCCAAACCAGGCCCAAGGCCAGCGTCACCGTACTGGTGAGCCAACGCAGCTAAAGCTTCAACGTCCATGGCGTCTGCAGCGTCTACGCCTCTTCTTCGGAGGCTCCTTTGGTGGCGTCACCTCCACAGCACGAGAAGGACGGCCTCCCCGTGGAGGGGAAGGGGTCCCCAAGAAATCACACTCGCAATCTTTTGCAGCCCTCGAAATCCGTTCTGCCTCTTCCTCTGTCAGAAACTCCGTGACAAACCCAAACACACAGTACCAGCAGTACAAGTAAGTCATGCTGTGCGACTGCGGAGCCAAAACACTGCTGCAAAGCTGCAAGCATCAGAAAATACAACCAGCACAATGCGCAGACAAATTGAGAATCTCCAATCACGTGCATGAAGTTCAACAAGCAAAAGCAGCTCCAAACTAATAAGAAACACAGAAAAAGGGAAGGAAACGAGATAAACATATTTCTGAAAATATGAATAAGGAAAACAATGTTGAAACAATGATCAGAAAAAAAGAAACACACACATATATATATATATATATATTATATATATCATATATATTATATATTATATATATATTTGTTGAAACATTGAAAAATATTTTTTGAAAAAAACATAAACATATAAAACAAGTTTCAAACATTATAAAACATGTTTTGAAAAAAACAATGGTTTTTCAAACAAGTTTGCAAACATTTTTCAAAATTTTTATCTTTTTCGGAAACAATTTATCATTGTTTTGTTGGATTTTCAAAGTGTAATCACCACAATGGGTTTTGCGAACATTCAAATTACATACATAAATGTGTATGTATGTAAATTACTGTACGCACATATGTATATATATACATAAATAATATATATTATAATGGTTGAAATTACAAGGCATTATGTCACATGCATCGTATTACAACGCGCTACACCAGCTACATAAATAGATACAAAGGTCGATGCAAAGAGAGGCACATGCATGCATATGTACATCCGTACATGCATTGCATGCACACGTGCCTGCAGGCATAAAGACAGTCCGTTAAGTTACATTATGTTGCCACTTTTTCTTTTGCTTGCATTGCAATGCACCACCTCGAGACATACATACAAACAAACAAAGATTCCAGCATAGATGAGAACATAAATGCAGACTACAGAAGTATGTATCAATATGTCCATCAAATTTTTGATTAAAACACGGACGCATAACAAGAACACTAAATACAGGTAGATTGGATATGATTGGATAACATAAAATTAAAGGTTGGAAAGGATTAGACACGCGATAGAGCAAATAAAGATAGATAGATAGTTGGATAGATAGATAAATAGATAGATAGAGAGATAGAGAGGTAAGTAGGTAGTAGGCAGATAGATAAGGCGAAGATAGGTGATATCCAGATGGATGGGTAGATAGATAGACGACTTGGTAGATTGATCGATAGACAGACAGAACGATGACGAGAAAGAGAGAGAGAAAGAGACAGGGATAGATGCATAGATACATAGACACATAGATACGCAGATACAAAGATACATAGATTCATAGATATATAGCTTAGACACACAGATACATAGATAATTACATAAATATATAGATACGTAGCTTAGATACATAGCTTAGGTACATAGCTTACATAGATAGATAGATGGATGGATATGATAGATCGGATAGATTAGATAGATTAGATGCATGGATGGATGGATAGATGGATGGATGGATAGATGGATGGATGGATACGTAGGTGGGTAGGTAGGTAGGGATTGAATGAAAACATATAGATATCGTAAAGAAAACATCTTTACATTACATCACATGAACCTGCATTCCACTACTCTGTACTTGAAGTCCCAGCGTAACACAGATCAACACTGCTAATGCAGCGCAATATATTTATTTTGCATTGACGCGCCCCTAGATCCGGAGATGATCATAGCGGTCCAGCTTTCGCGCTTTCATACTTCCGTTCGCGTTTTCGCGTTTTCGCGTTTTCGCGCGGAAATGCCGCGCATCACCGGGGCCGAGACACACACATTTCCTGCACAGGGTTTCAGGGGGTGTCAGACCCTCTGGCATCAAAATTTGCAGATCCGATATGATCTGATGATAGAGAATCTTGATATATGATGATATATATTCCATCCTTTTCAACATTACAAAAGAGGGCTAGTGAGGTAGCCTAGTAATATGCCCAAAAGAGGTCTGAAATTGGTCTGAAACTGGTCTGAAACACCTTCCTACCCACCATCTCAGACATATTCCCCAATGTGACCGTTTTGGGATACCCATACTCAAACAAGTATTTGAAGAGAGCAATCGACAGCCCTATTTTATCACACTTCCCTGACGGGAATAAGCTTCTGTTTTCTTAATTTATCTTGGGGTTTTTGATTTCCCTTCTCCAAGTTGCGCCAAATTAACAAACGATAACAAATGCAAAGATAAGAAAGGACTTAGAAAGGCTTCTGTTTTGGGAACCATTTTCCGTTGTTTTGTACTGTGGTATATTGAGGTTTGCTCTGATTTTTTACACGGGCACACACAAACATCACATCCATTTTTGTTTGTCTTTACGTTTGTTATTTCCCCACCTGCCAGGTGAGGGTTATTAGATTTTATGTCAATTGCCTCGTCTCCTCTCCTCTCCTCCTCCTCGTCTCCTCCTGCCGGACCTCAACCACGATCATCCACTCCCAGTGTTCCCTGCCGGACCTCAACCACGATCATCCACGCCCAGTGTTCGCTGCCGGACCTCAACCACGATCATCCACGCCCAGTGTTCGCTGCCGGACCTCAACCACGATCATCCACACCCAGTGTTCCCTGCCGGACCTCAACCACGACCATCCAAGCCCAGTGTTCCCTGCCGGACCTCAACCACGACCATCCACGCCCAGTGTTCCCTGCCGGACCTCAACCACGACCATCCACGCCCAGTGTTCCCTGCCGGACCTCAAACACGACCATCCACGCCCAGTGTTCCCTGCCGGACTTCAACCGCGAGTATCCCCGCCCAGTGTTCCCTGCCGGACCTCAACCACGACCATCCACGCCCAGTGTTCCCTGCCGGACCTCAACCGCGAGTATCCACGCCAAGTGTTCCCTGCCGGACCTCAACCACGACCATCCACGCCCAATGTTCCCTGCCGGACCTCAACCACGACCATCCTCGCCCAGTGTTCCCTGCCGGACCTCAAACACGACCATCCACGCCCAGTGTTCCCTGCCGGACCTCAACCGCGAGTATCCACGCCAAGTGTTCCCTGCCGGACCTCATGTAGGAAGATATGGGACAAAGAATGTGCAGAAGAAAGTTAGAAAGAATGTCAGAAAGAATGTCAGAAGATATGCCAGAAGATATGCCAGAAGATAATGCCAGATAGAATGCCAGATAATATGCCAGAAGATATGCCAGATAGAATGCCAGATAGAATGCCAGAAGATTTGCCAGATAGAATGCCAGAAAATATGCCAGAAGATATGCCAGATAGATATGTCAGAAGATATGCCAGAAGATATGCCAGAAGATGTGCCAGAAGATATGTCAGAATATATGCCAGAAGATATGTCAGATAGAATGCCAGAAGATATGTCAGAATATATGCCAGAAGATATGTCAGATAGAATGCCAGAAGATATGTCAGAATATATGCCAGAAGATATGCCAGATAGAATGCCAGATTGAATGCCAGAAGATATGTCAGATAGAATGCCAGAAGATATGCCAGATAGAATACCAGAAGATTTGCCAGATAGAATGCCAGAAGATATGCCAGAAGATATGCCAGATAGAATGCCAAATAGAATGTCAGAAGATATGTCAGATAGAATGCCAGAAGATTTGCCAGTAAGAAAATGTATAAATGTCATGGTGGGGATCACACGAAGTAAAGTAATTTTTGGTGGTAACGTGAAAATCTATGAACAGGTTGTTGTTTCACCCAATTCATGTACCAAAGATGGTGAACACATCTAAGGCAAATGGGTTTGTCTGAAAATGAGCTATCCCCCAATCATCATGTTCCAATGATAGAAACAATTTCGGGCAGACCCCATTCTAACGGTTATAACTTGATTTACAACCCCCTTAACTACGGTTACTTGCAACAAACACTGGTTGACTTGATTAAAAGCCCAACTTAGGCAACTATGGGGCACTATCTTGTGGGGATGAACAGAATGACTAGATTACTTGATATATGGGTTTGTCTTGAAAATCAGTGATAATACTTGATCATACTAATTCCATTTCAATCACAAGCTTTGACTGGCTAATCCTCTGCTTGTTTGCAAGTTAACTCCCCAAGCAGGGCAAGAAAATTCCCAGTTCAAAAGAGGATTACCACATGTATGTCCGTAACCGAATCCGTATTCTCAACCGAAAAAACAAGCTATAGTTTCTTAACAAACCATTGATCAAAAACCACTTTTGCTGCCTAAAGTGAATATTTCTGGGTTAAGTATCATAATTCACAAAGCTGAATTAAGGCTAGTTTGCTATAATTGCCCCAATCCTAACCAGTATTCCCAGGTCCAGGAAAATGGCGAGGTCATGATCAAATTCATGAATATATTTTAGCCATATATTAAATCATATCCATTATCAACCATTATCAATTCAATGAGAATTTCAGGATCCTAAAATGGAGGTACTGTACCATATAAGGGCAGATTTTCTAGGGATATTACAAAGGCCTTAAACTCAGGCCTAAAATAGTGGTAGGTACAACCAATAAATCGGTTCCTGAAATGCATAGCCATTGATCAAGCATTGACATTGTAAGCCAATATCAACCATTGGCATTTATCATATGGATATTAAAGGCTATTGTATATTCCATTGTAAGCCAGTATCAACCATTGTCTTACCCATATGGCTTACAATGGCAATGGTTGATACTGGCTCCTTTAATACACATTTCGTTGATCATCAATTATCACACTGACCTTTAATACCCATATGATAATTGATAAGCATCTATGCACGGACGCGTTGCTACAGCCTCCTTTGATTTCATCGTTTTTAATGGCCTCAGTTGCTCTGCGTTCCCATTAACAAAAACATGTTTACACGGTGAATCACCAATTCTTCATTAGAATTAACCATAGAATAGTCACAAATTAGGCCACTATTACCAATTACCACTAACAATCCATTAACTCCCACTATATCCCCCAAAAAAACGCTGGATCACCAGTAAATCCAATTCAATCATCATTTTGGGATTTAATATGCTTTAATCAATTACATTCACCCTTTTTGTCCCGCGCCAAGTGTTTTTCAAGAACGGGAGTGTTTGAGTGGCGAGAGTCTAGGAGAGTGGCGTTGAGTGGTGTTGAGTGGCGACAGCCAACAAACGGACAGATTGCGTGTTCAATGTAATTTATACAAGATGGTGCCCCCCAGTTAGAAATGGGTTATAATCCTATTAACTATAGATATTTCACCTATAAACCATAGTCATTGGATTTATGAACCAACTTGGCTAACTATGGTACAGTACAGATTCTTTTAAAGCTACAGCAAGGTCTTCAAAAAGCGCTATGCCGTACAGCTATCCTCACCTGTGCGTCCAAGCGAATGCGGGAAGACTGCAAGGACTGCAGAAGATTGGTGGCCTTGCAACAATCTCTGGATCCCCAATCAGGCAATGATGATTATAATACAATATGGGGCCTCCTGGATAGCTAAGTTGGTTTCGAACTAGGTTAAGTATGGTTTATGGTAGATATATCTATAGTTATTAGGGTCTATAAACCAACTTATAGCACTGGGGGGGGCCACATTGTAGTAATAACGGAATAATGGGTTCACTATATCATACATTATATATGGGGTTTATAGTGGGTATATCACAATGGATCCAAATCTCTGGATTAGCAATGTGGGATTTTAATGTGGGGCCTGGCATAAGGGGTATTATTATAAGAGAAATCTATAATGTGGGGCCCCCTAGATAGCTAAGTTGGTTTATAACTCCAATAACTATGGTTTATGATACTTATAAGTATAGTTAATGATGCTTATAAACCAACTTATAACTGGGGGGCCCACATTGTATGGATCAGCAATCAAGCAATGATGAGGCAATAGTGATATAATGGGGTTGTTATGGGATAATGGGACATATATCCCGGATAAACATAGGAATATATAATAGTTTATACATATATGCAGTACTTAATCATGCAACAAATATAGTTAAAGTTATATATATAAATACAACGTATGTACTGTATAGTGGGCTTAATAACCATAATAGGCTAATATACCAATATATTATCGGGATATAATTGGGAAATTGTTATAGCATGGGGTTAGAATAGTAATATAATATATATGCACATAGAATGGGGATATTTATCAAACCGACCACAAGGTACTGCACCAGTTTGTTAGCTAAGTTGGTTTTGTTCACTAGGTGAATTCTATGGTTTACAGTAGATAAAAGTTAATATGGTTTAAACACCAGCTTAGAACTGGAGGGCACCACCGTTTAGGGATTCTGATGCCTTCTTCTTAACCTGGTTGGTGGATGAACATGTTTTCAATGGGAATTTCAGGATCCTAAAATGGAGGTACTGTACCATATAAGGCCATATTTTGTTGGGATATTCCCTTATGCAAAGCCTGAATTATGGGCCTAAAATAATGGTAGCTGCCTGCAATAAATCGGTTCCTGAAATGCTTGTCCATTGACATTCACCAATGATCTCACAGAACCCTCTTCAAACTCTGTATATCTGAAACCCAAAACAACCAGAAATAACCAAGCGGCTGCTTCCGTGGAAAGTACCATTTCTTGGCTACGGATTCATCACTACCAAAGGGAACCAACTAATCAAATATATATATATAATACCATGACTAGTTGGTGGTTTTAACATGTTTTAACCATATTGAAAAATATGAGTTCGTCAATGGGAAGGACGACATCCCATATATGAAATGGACAATAAAACATGTTCCAAACCACCAACCAGATAAAATACATGTACAGCAAACTATTGACTTCCTGCGTGCATCCTTCCAATATCTGAGTCTTCTTCCCTCCATCCATGCCTGCTGCCACGAAGTTTCACATTTTCGTATTGAGGTGGTGCAAGTGACCATATTGCCACCTTAGAACAGATGGAAGATGGTGGAAGTCTTCAGTGACTTCCTGTGCTTCTGTGCTTCCTTAAATGTTCCTACAGTTTTCTTTAAATGGGCTTATAATGATATAAAACCTTGATTATAGGAGTTATAACTCCATTTATAACTGTTAGTTGGGCCATAAGTGTAAATACATTCCAGTATACAAACATTCCAAGAATTTTTACCACCTGGTACTCAAACATGGCAAGGGCAAATCCAGCAATTTTCAAGATGATTTTCCCCATGAAAAAACCTTCATTTCTAAGGCATTTCCCATGCCACGATTGACTACCACAGGGTATATTTCGGGTTTGTCATGTAGATGATGCCCTCTGGTAATTTAACATGGCTATTGAACATGGCCATTTATAGTGTTTTCCCAATAAAAATGACCATTTTCAATAGCTATGTTAAATTACCAGAGGGTATCAATCCCTATGGATCCAGTTGTAGCTTCTTAGGAAGTACGACTGGGGTATGATGACTAGGGGGTTAGTTATACAAGTACCTTCCCAGGCAGTGGCCATGGATCCATAGGGAATGATATCCAGCCGTAAAGATTTAAGCATGTCGGACTGGGGCACCCAAAAAAACTATCACAAAGGTTGCCGATGAAGATCATCCCCTATAAAACAAGTGGAGGTTTCCGTTTCGTCATGGGGCGGCCCGCCCCATCATCCAGCCGTCATGGATGACCACGACGAAAGAATTGAAACATTTGGTGACTTGGTGATCTCCAATGAAGTATTCCATTGAATAGATTTCCATTGAATACCCATTTTAAATCATGATATTCCCACAATGTGAGGCCCCCAAGATAGCTAAGTTGGTTTATAACTCCAATAACTATGGTTTTATGGTACTTATAACTATAGTTACTGGTGCTTAAAAACCAACTTATAGCTGGGGGCCTCACATTGCATGATACCGCTTAATTTTGAGGATTCCTCCATCATTTAAGAAACCCCAGCTGCTCTCATCACTTCACTCCTGCTCTGATTGGTGTGGTATACCCCAGCACCACTTGGGGTCCACTGATTATAGGCCTGGTAACTGCATGATCCCACCCCAAATGGTTGGTGCTTTACCACATCATCCAGGCTCAATCCCTCAGCTTTCCAAGAATGTAACACATCCAACATGGTATATACATATCAACCTGGTTTCCCATGAAAAAAACTCCATATATCACCAATACGACACATTTGTTGATGGCTACTGTAAGTTAAATCCCAATCCCAAAAGTTTATCTTATAGTTTACAGAATGGGATGATGGATTGGTATGATCATTATGTATAGTTTATCTATAGTCTATAGTTACAGTTTATATAGTGTATGTTTTATAGACGCATGCATGCTGATGCTTTCCCAGCTAGCCGGGCGTTTCGGTTCCCTCCACCCCGCGGCGTTACCTCCAAAGGTCGTTAAGTAGTGAAGAGTCAGCCACCAGGTCGGGAGTGCCTGAAAGAGAGCAACCCGCAGCCGCAAGGATCCTCATTAAAGTGCACATATATAGCTTGTATATACAATGTGGGGCCCCCGAACGATAGCTAAGTTGCTTTATAACTATAACTGGGTTAAATATAGTTCATGGTAGCTGTATCTATGTTAATGGGGTTTACAAACCAACTTTGCTATCGTTCGAGGCCCCCACGTTGTAGTTTTCCATATATATTTAGCCAAATATATAGTCACTACCACCTATTTATGTTTTATACCTCCTATTCTGGTTGCTGGTTTCAACTCCTTTGAAAAATATGAGTTCGTCAGTTGGGATGATGACATTCCCAATATGATGGGAAAGTCATTCAAAATTCCATGGTTCCAAACCACCATACAGTTATGGCCCAGCTAACAATTATAAATGGAATGAAGTAGCTCCTATAACTAGTTGGTTATATATCACGAAATAAACCCATAAAAACAACTGTTAGTTGGGCCATAACTGTAGGTTTACCCACGTTACAAACTCTGCGCCTGGACGACTTCACCGAAGCTGCGGTCGATGAGGCCGTCCCAGTCCCAACACTTCACGGCCCGCAGCCAGTGTCCTTAGCTGAGCAGCAAGCTTGGGCCCATCCTGGAACGGTATATGATATGGGGGTTTCCATAGTCATGGGGATACCCCAATAGCTGGATGGTTTATAAGGAAAAAATATGAAAAAATCATCCATAAATATCTATAAATGGATGAGAACTGGGAGTAGCCCTATTTTAGGAAACCTCCATATATCCATTGCAATTCCCGGTTAAACTAGTTATCATGAAACAAATTATACACTCTCCAGTAACATAGACCCTGTCAAATTGGAAGATGAATTTCTACTAAGAATTGGCTATCTTCAGGATCTATGTCAATTGCGGGGAGGGTACCCATCGTTTGGGCTTCCCACCAGCATCCAAAGCACTGGCTCTCGCAAAGCTCCGTAGCGCTCGCTCGCCAGTGTTCGCAGAAGCACGTGAAGAGTGGGCCTCCTGGGTAAAGCAAAACATGGTCGCCGCCTTTTGCTAAGTCTAAATGTGCCTAAATGGAAAACAGCTGGCAAAACCAGTCATTCTATGGTGATATAGAATGATATAGATACATGAGAGAGAGAGAGATATATATATATATATATGACATGTAATAATAGGATGATCAACGTGGGCGGATGAAACCCGTAGTAGGGGCAACCCGTGATGAAACTCGCGGGGGAAACGAATCGTATCGTTTTTTCAAAGACACCTCGAGTGGATTTGCTGATTCGGGGTCCCCAAAAAAACAAATCACTTAATCGATTCCCCAGTCATGGTGGATTTCCCATTGACAAAATAAACAAATCACCTTAAACAAACCCAGGTAATCAGTCGTCCAGTTTTTAAAGCCAGTCTAGTGGATCAACTCTGGGAGCTGGACGGGTTTTTCCCAAGGCAGCACAGGCCAATGGACCATGAAGAATTGTCATGGAACTGCCATGCTACCAAATGATTTACCCTCTGGTGATTTAACATAGCCATGGAAAATGGCCCATTTATAGATGGTTTACCTATTAAAAATGGCGATTTTCCATGGCTATGTTAAATAACCAGATGGTATCTGAAATACGGGATCGGCAATTTCATGGTCCATCATTTTTTTAGTTGCCATACTGGTCGCATATCCCTTTTTAGATGCACAGAACGTGTTTCACACTGGAGAAGTCCCGACGACAATAGGAAAGTTGCATCCAATTTCTTAAGATCTTGGAGAAGAATGCACAGCCACTACCCTCTGGTAAACTAACGTAACCATGGAAAATCACCATTTTTTATGGGTAAATCCACTATGTTAGTTTACCAGAGGGTAATCACATTTGAAAGAGAACCTAAATGAAAATCATGGTGTGGCTAAACATCAAACTCATCAGACACAAAAAAATGATAGTTATCCGAAAACTTTGAAGGATAAATACACTTCCACACATTCTGGTTGGTGGTTTCAACCCCTCTGAAAAATATGAGTTCCGTCAGTTGGGATAATTATTCCATTCCCAACTGACAACTGAATGAAAAGTCATTCGAAATTCCATGGTTCCAAACTTTCCAAACCACCAACCAGACATATCATGTGTGTTTTTCTGTGATAACCATGGATAAACCCATTATAATCATTAATAACCATATTTATAAACCATGGTTATTAACCATTATAACCATTAGATTCCCTTAAGATACCCCCTTCCATCGTCGCGAAGACTTCCTCCAGCAGCTGTGCTGCGTCTCTCCAACGATCCAGGTGCCCATGCAGGGCGTTCAACATGTCTCACCATCCTCAGCGTCACGTGGATCATCCCACGAATCGAAACTGCTTGGGAACCCTGCTTGGGAACTGTGCCCCAGTTGGGAAATCGCTAAGTTAGTTTAGAACAGTTCAGTTTCACTTGGGTTTATGGTAGTTACATAGTTACTATGCTTTATAAACCAACTTACAACTGGGGGGGCACCACCTTGCAGGGCCTTCAGCCAACTCCTGTCGGTGAGAAAGGCTAAGAGATGGTGGCTATGACAGAGATATGGTATGTATACCCTCCGGTGTCATCAAACATGGCTAGCTGGGAAGTCCCCTATAAAAAAATGGGCATGAAAATGGTAAAATCATCGAACTAAACAGAGGATTTTCCAAGCCATCGGAGGGTAACCACAATTTTGGAGTAAATTATATGTAACATGGTGGCTTCCAAAAATGAGGGTATCCAGAAATCATCCATTTTAGATTGGGATTTTCCGTTATACCAACTATTTTGGGGATCACCACGACTTTCGAACCTCCCAACCTGTTTACTCTCCTTAGAACGTGATAAACCAAGAAGCTCGCCCGTTGCGCGTAACGTCGTTTCGTCACCAGGACAACGGGGCGACTGTTGGCGGAGGCCATGCGCAATTCTCATGGCGCACTGCGGCTCTGCGGTGCGTTTTTGTGTGGCAAATCCGCATCTCACAAAGCTCTGAGTAAACCAAGATGCAAATAAACATATAGTCTAAATAACACCCTATATATATATTTATATATATAGTATATACAAATACTGGGATGGTAAATGCATTTATAGAATGCCAAATACCAATAAATATCACCAACTTTCATTTTCAACCATGAGACCATGTATAATACCATTTTTAGACGTGCTAACCTGCGGGGTCCAGAGGTACAAGTTGGTTTATCACACCATTCGACTAAAGATACACCCACTAATCCACTATGAATGATAGCTATTGTTGTTCTCCAGTTTACCATAGTTTACCTATCTTTGGGAGGCCGCACATTATATGTCCAAGGCATTTGATACTGAAGATCAAAACATCAGACTTGGCCCCATGTGGCCTATGAAGGAAATGCATCAGACAGATTTGGGCCGTTCCCCGTAACAAACCAATGGCAATTTCGGGCAGAGAAATTCTACAATGTGGGGCCCGCTAGACCCTAGTATACCCTAGTTATTGTAGTTATGTTCACCAACTTAGCTATCATAAATCAGCTATAAATCCCATTAAACCCACATTTTCCTATGGTTTCCTATGGTCGAACTGGGGCCCCACATTGCAGAACCCCAGTGTATCTCTTGCAATTTCCAGCTTTCCTAAGTCTGACCCGTGAAAAAAGCCTCACCACATGTGTCATAGTTCATGGCCAATGTTTATGTTTACAGCTATGGTCCTTAACAGTTAAAAACGGGCTTATTTCATGATATATATAATAATATATATATACATACAGTATATAAGACATAATAATATATAATATAACCTCAGCTAGAGGAGTTGTTTCATTCCATTTACCATCTCGTGATTGGTTACATAGCCATGCAAAATCACCATTTTTAAGAGGTAAACCATCTATTTCTATGGGCCATCTATACCATGGTTATGTAACAAATAACCAGAGGGTATAGCTGTTAGTTGTGCCATAACTGTCAATGATCCAGCTGGTTGGGCCTCCGGATCCGAGAAAAACACCATCGATGCTTGCAACGTATGCTGTTTTATAGGGCCCTTGAGCAGTTGTAAGTCCGTCATCATGTCATTTCTGGAATGATAACCCCATGTAAAACCATGTTATAGATCTATAACCATTCTATTTCGGGCTAAAAGACCGCATAACTGTTCACTGAACAAAAAAACACATAGACATCATTTTTTCAACCATAAATCACATGAAGTGCTCCATTTTTGTTGCTGAAAAATCACCATGTCCTATGGCTTCCTAGACCTTTAACAGTAACAGTGTGCTGCAGAATTTGTGTGGGCCGAAACGACCTGGTCATCAGCATGCTGCGAAGCTTGCATTTTTTTTGGTGCACAAGGTGCTGCCCACATAAACATTAACTATGATTCTTTATGTTTAAAACAATGTTAACAGTTGGTTTATAACACCCCTGAATAAAGAACTACGTATGTTTAAAACAATGTTCACAGTTGGTCTACAACGACCATCAGCTTTGGTGAACTAGGTTGACAATGTAGAAAACGTGGTTTATAACACCAATGAATACCAGTTCGATATACAGATATATATATATAATTATATATATATACACAATGTGGGGACCCCTTGTTATAAGTTGGTTTATAACCCAATCTGACTATAGTTACAACTACCATAAATCCTATTTATTGTAGTTATTTAGCCCAACTTAGCTATCAAACGGGGGCCCCACTTTGTACCATAAACCATCGAATTCACCGTTTGTGAACTTAACGAACTGGTGCAGCACCGACATGTCTTCCAAACCTGGAACCTCTGGTGACCAATGACCTCTGTCCCCAGGGGAGACAAACTCCACACTTTGGACCTCGTTGGTGGTGCTGACAAGCTCATCCTAAGAGTACCCTCTGGTAAACATAACTATGGAAAATCACCATCTTTAATAGGTAAATCAACTATAAATGTACAATTTTCTATAGCTATGTAACAAATTACCAGGGGGTATCTCATACTTGATGGATGGTCTTTCTCCAGCACTTGTATAGTCGGGAAAAATATCATAGACCGGAACATCATCCATACAAGGTTGGAGCCCCCAAACGTCATGTTTGTTGGTTTATAACCCCCATTAGTTAGTTGGATATATCTACCATAGACCCCATATATTTGACTTCTAAACCAACTTAGCTATAACGGGGGCCCCACCATGTATGCATTAAATGCTTCCTACTTCCTGCGCCAGCTTGGATTCTGCTTTGAAGGCGGAGGTGTTCCCGAGCGGCTGATTTAGTGATAGATCTACCCTGAATGGTTCATATTGCTCAATAAATATTGCCCATGAAGAAAAATGCGACAACATGGGGCTGGTATGCTTCATTACATCTAATTCCATACACTGTTACTTGTATTCCAAAGTTTTCGGGGATCATCACATTGAAACCCCTGCAGTTATGGCCCAACTAACAGTTATTTCTATGGGCTTATTTCATGACACATTTCACCTTAGCTAGAAGACGAGTTATTTTGCTCCATTTATAACCAACCAGTCATGATATGTAACCAACTAGTTATAGGCATAGGAGTTATACTTCCATTTAAGGCACTGTTCGTTGGGCCATAACCGTGCATATGTTTTTTCTTGTGGCCATCTTCTATCAGCGTCGCCTCGCCCTCTCCTGCACGCTGTGAGGTGAAGGCGCCAAATTCGTGGGAATACATCGCGTTTTGTCACCAAACATAGCTGGTTGGTGGTTTGAACCCCTCTGAAAAATATTAGTCAGTTGGGATTATTATTCCCAATATATGGAAAAATAAAATTCATGTTTCAAACCACCAACCAGCCTTTTGTCACCAAACATAGTGTTTTTTGTTCCCAACTTTCTGGCAATGTTATGGCCAATGATGGGAAAATTGTGGAACATGATAATCTATGCCGTTTTATAGACAACGCTATAGACAACCTTTACTAATTGGTTGTTTTTAACCGATTGGATCATCATCCCAACTATTGGGGAAAATGAAACATGTTCCAAACCACCAACCAGTGATAATATACCATCGGGTTTCAAAGGTGGCCACATGGAAAATAAGAGGGACTGGTTCATTCTGTTGATTGCCATGGTGGGGAGTTGACCCATCATGGGGATTTCAATGATTTACTTACCAAAATTGATTTGTTCAAAAAAAAACAAAACATGGGATTTAACCAACAAAACTGAGGATGTAACTGGGAATACCACCGTGAAACACGTAGATAAACACATGGGGAAAACCATGGTTTCTTCGGTTGAAAATAACAGTTCAGGACAATTATACCTCAATAAATATATAAGTATATATATATATAATAATCTTGTTATTTAAAAAAATAATAATAATTATTATTATTTTTCTTATTAAAATATATATATATATATATTTTTCCCTATCAATTGATGGATCGATAACCATCCCCCTATGTGGATACTATACAAAATTCATCGTTTGATTGATTTGTATATTATAATATATATATATATTATATATATTATACCCAGTAGTATTCCGTCGAATCCCAGTTTTAAATGTATAGGTCCATCTTGCTTGACCGTGGCGCGTATGTGAACTTCAATTGCTTACCGGATATCCCAAATAATAGTATAGCCTCCGAAATCATCAGCCATCATGTGTCAACTATATCCACTTTTTCACCCACATTTTTGATATATTGATAATGATTGATTAGTGGATATAGTCTGATATAGTTGATTTTGCTCGTAGATTAGTGATTCATGATAATGATAATGACATGATAATTTTGCTCGTATCCCTTTTACATCAGCATGATAAGTACCCAAAAAAAGAGGGCCAGTCGAGTCCCCATGAAGCAACCAGTCGCTGAGCCGTTTTCGAAGTTTGCAGTACAACCCATGACGGATCCATGGTGCTGCTATATATGCTAACATAAAGGGGGTATATTGATGGGATCCATGTTACCATATATATAGCAGCACCATGGATCCTATGGGCAATAATCCCAAATATGAACCGAATTGTAAACCAACTTGGCTATCTACTTGGTGGCTCATCTCACTAGGTTAATGATAATCCTAGTAAGTAGATTAACCCTACTTATTGTCCCACTAACAAAACTAGGGATATAACCTGGTTGGTGGTTGATCTACCCCTCTGAAAAATATGAGTTCGTCAGTTGGGATGATGAAATTCCCAATATATGGAAAGTCATAAAATTCCATGGTTCCAAATCACCAACCAGCTAGGGATATAACCCGGGATGACCCACCAAGTTGGAATATCCTAGGGCCCACCTTTTCTCGACCAGCCGCCTCGATCTGCCAGTGCCGCCACAGCCGCATCCCGCACGAAGCGGTCGCTGTCCTGTGGGCCCGGGAGCCGGATTGCAGGAGAAGTGTTTTAATAGTGATTTATAGTGATTTTAACTGGGTTAACCATGAAACATGGTGATTTCTAGTGATTTCGTAGAAAAAAATATCGGGAATGTTACCATCAGACAGGAACAGTTATGGGGATATAGGGGAGATGATGGAGACGTTTCTTTTGTGTGACAATGGGTATGTTTGAAGGTGAACAACCAAAATAGATGAGGGTATAAACAAATACTTTGGGGATATGATAGTGATATAATGGAATACAACCAACAAGAGTATAAATGGGTTTGTCTGGAAATGCGGTAGATTCCCAAAAAATGTTGTTTTAAGTGGGATATCAGTGATTAACGCCTGAATTTAGGAGTTCTCTATTTTAAGACAAACCCGAATGGGAATTCAACCATTCAAATGAACTTGAGCAACAAACATAGGGATTGAACATCTAGTTAGTATGCAGAACACAAATGCATGATGCGATTGATATACTAAATTATTAGTATCGAAGCGCAACATTCCTACCTTGCTACCTGAATATGGTAATTATACAGCTCCGATGGAAGCCATTTGGAGCGTTAGAGTGTTTCGAGGCGAAGTTGGGGTGGACGGACGGACAGAGTTCCCCGAAAAATTCCCCGTCTATGGAAGAGTCACCGGTAAGGGTCATCCAAGCTGACATAATCCCGTTCTGGGTTCAAGGTCTCTTCACCTGAACTTCCGAGGTGATTGCAGCTGACAAACCTGAGCCTGCCAGAACCAGCAGAGCTCGCCAGCGCCGCTTCACTGGCGCGAATCGGCACTGAATGCCTTGAGTGCAAGTGCCACCCTGCCAGAACCAGCAGAGCTTCCAGCCCCACATCCAGGTACCGCGGAAAACGACAGGCATCGGATTGCCAGGAGTTGGCCACATGGCTGGAAGAACATCCATCAGCAATGGATAAAGGTTGGGTATAGATGGAGGATTGCCTATCACCAAAATGAGGCCGCAAATGAAGCCATCAAAGGTCTTATGAGAACCGGGGGTGCTGCCATTTGCAGTGGTGTCGAACATATATTATGGAAAATAAAAAATGTTTGAAACCACCAACCAGAGAAACAGTCTTATGCATTTATATAGCCGATTCTATTCCCACTAGGATCCCGTTAAATCCCACTCTTTGATGGCGAAGTCCATATAACTTGACCATGACACGTCTGTGAATTTCAATTGGTTCCCCAATATACTGGATAGACTTGGAGAGTATAGCCCCGTATATCCACTTGTACCCTCATATTTTGATGGTTCAAGTTCAAATCATGTTTTCCCCATGGCAGTATATTCCCATTATCTCAATTTCTAGTGGTGAAGTCCATACATTACACTGGCTTAAAATCTTTACCCTTCCATGTTTTTTCCATTCTTAGTTGTCATTAACCAGCTACAAATCACAGTAACCCCTCATTTTTGTTGGTTGAATCACCATGTTACGATGTTCCTATGGTTATTCCGTAGATTTCCATTATGATCAATTGTTTGATTGTAGAAACGGTTTATATCCTATTATATATATATAAATTCCCACTAGTATTCCATAGAATCCATATATACATCTTACTGGGAACAATCTACTTTCCATGTATATATATATATATGCAGTACATATATATATATATATATCCATAGGTTCCTAGTAGCAGATAGGGAAACTATTCAATAGTAACATAGGATTATTCCACATAAATCCGTTCACTGGATGGTTTCCATCATCTCTGTGGTTATGTAGGTAGCTGCAAGTCTCCAATGTATAGCAGCCCCCAGAAAAATAGAACAGTGGAAAACCTGGAAATATGAAATGAAGTAAATACAATTTATAACATCTTGGAAACACGTTTCTATCGTTTTGGTGGTTACTATAGGAACTTATTAACCCATTTATGGAGTGATTACCCTATTTATCACTGCTAATCGGCTTTAATGATACACACTCCATAGATTTCCTACAGTTATGGCCCAACTAACAGTTATAAATAAGCTTATAATGATATATTATATAAATATTATATATATATATACACTATATGTATCACCTTAGTTCTATACTATAATACCATTTTATAACTGTTAACGGCCAACAGCCTGGTGGTCCCCTAAAAGGCAAACAAACGCCTGGGACAAGGCCAGCAGAGCTTCCACGGCCTCGGGTCTCGGCGGGTCGAACCAAGATGAACGATAGAAACCATGGGAGTCACTGTCTGGTTGGTGGGAAAGATGCAGTCACAACCGAGTGTCTGGTTTATAATGATGTATATATATATATAAATATAACCAACTAGTTGTAAAGTTATAATTCCATTTAAAAGCGTTAAGGGTCCTAACTGCAGAAGTCACGAAGTCGAGTCACTTAGGCTTGCTTGGTGAGACTGATATTTATGATATTGTTATAGTATCTGGTTGGTGGTATACCTACTCCTCTGAAAAATCATGGAGTTCGTCAGTTGGGATGATGACATTCCCAGGGTCCCAAGATATGGAAAAATAACATTCATGTTCCAAACCACCAACCAGATGGTGATTTTATGGGGTTTCCTCATCTATGTTAGTTTCCTGGAGGGTAGTCATTTGGGAATTTGGGACTAAGATACTGTGGAAATCACGCTATTTGCAGTCCATTTCGTAGAAGAACCATTGTTATTCACCATTCATACAAGATTTCCCGCTGAAAAGAATGATGAATCTATTGGCTATATTGTTTATTTCCTTGGTGCTTGAAAGCAGTTGGTAAGTGGGTAACCTGAAGCAACCCTACTTACCCTACTCAGTTGGTGCTTCCAACTCTTCCTTCTCTGTTTGAGGTTTGCTATCCACCATTTATAGATGTTTTTCCATCAAAGCCCCATACATATACTATCTAGGGATATCTAGGGAATTTCCAATGTTGTATTGCCAGACTGCATTCATAGATGTGTGTTCCCCCTAGTTATGAGTTGGTCTATGACCCCCATCGAACTATAGTTAAAACTACCATAAACTCTAGTTATTGCAGTCATAAACTTAGCTATCAAACGGGGGCCCCACTTTGTAGATGTGTGTTCCCTTAAAGACCAAGGCTTTCCCCAGGGATTTCCCCCTCTGCAACGTCAAACACGACTTCCCCAGGAGCGCCAAGTGTCAGAGCGATGCGCCGCGAAATGTGCTGCAGCGTCGACCAGGGAACGACGGACGAAACCTGGGGCTACGATTCTCTGATATCATGGAACCATGACCCCATTTATAACCGCTAATTGGATTTAATAAATATGCTTTACTTGCATACATTCCATAGATTTCCGACAGTTATATATGGCCCTTAAGAGCTATAAATGGGCTTATTTCATGATATATAACCAACTAGTTATAGAAGTTATATAATTCTTAGTTGGGCCATAACTGTGTCATCAAACGTGGTGTCCAATCCCCATGAACAATGGAGGTTTTTTCATGGAAACATGATCCATCCAGCCACGTTTGATTACCGGAGGTTAGCCACGGAAAATGGCCCATTTCGTTTGATTTAACTACTAGAATTCCATAGCAAACTGATGAGCTGCCAGAGGGTAGACTAGTTTTGGGTGACCTAAAAAAGTAATGGGCCCTAAACGATCGGCAAAATTTGTAGGTTTTAGAAACCAAGAAATATCTCCTGTTGGAAAGCAGGAAATGTGATGAGTTAGGGTTTTTTCAGAAAGACTTCAATCCACGATGCACATCCAGATGCTTCGGGATCGGCAGGGCCCCCGACCCGTTCTCTAAACGTTGGATTTATCGCATCTAACTAGAGATATACCTCAAATAAACCCAACAGTTTTTGCTTGTTATTTGGCCCAAGTTACCCTCTGGTTATGTCAAAATAGCTATTGAAAATGGCAATTTATAGTTGCTTTAAATCCATAGCAAACTGTTAGTTTACCCGAGGGTAGCTATCTTGACTTGGGGGCCCCCACCTTGTGGTTTTTATTGGTGTACCTTCTGGTAATCAAACGTCGCAAAGGAAAATACCCCGATATTCCATTTATGGATACTGTATGTGTCCCATAAAACCCAGTTATAAGGGATTTTCCAGCTAGCCACGTTTGATTACCAGAGGGTAACTAACCATTTGCCCATCTACAAGCTGGTCCCCGCCTTGTGTTTGTTGATTTGGAGACCCCACTAAGTAGTTCAATCAAATGTGTATATATATATAAATATGATGTATATATATACACACATACCTTTTTCACAATGGCGAATTCACTCCTGATAGGCCGCTGCGATTTGCATCTATGTGCCTCATGGGAAAAACACAAATATACATACCATATATCCTAGTGGACTATTAGTGAAATAAACCAACTTGGCCAACGAACTGAGGCTTGGGCATGATTCCCATATATGAAGCATCATTCCAGTGACGTCACTACATGAGGTCATTTTGATTCATCCACAGTATATCCCCAATTGAAATTCACATCACCACAACTTGCAGCCAATTCCATAACTAAACTTATTATATCACGACAACTTGTAACTTCTACTTCATCCCATAACTATAGTTAATCCTATCATAACCATATATACTAGTGGACTAGCACATAGAATATCCGATTTCATTGACTATGCAGTTAGAATAGCCTTAAAACCAAAAACCAGTGCACTTAGAATATTCCATTTTTGCACATGCATAACATAATTTAAAAATAAAGCATGGCTTTAATATAAATTTAGGAATGTTTCACAAAATCGATGCACATAGAATAATAACTGCATGTGTTCCTATGTGCAATGGGGATGCTTTGTACATGTAAACATGATAAACATGCATGTACATATGTATATATGTATGTATATATATATAAAACCATTCTTGATTTCAATTGGATATCTTGCTGATGATAAAATATGAACCCAACCAGCCCAATTGCAACAAACCACAAGTGTTTCACAAAATCCTTGCACTTAGAATATTCCTGCATATATATAAATATATATATAGTATGGTTGTATGTGTATGTGTGCTCTAAATACCTACCTTAAGAATAGCACAATGTTTGCATATAGAAATATGATATATGTATATAAATGAATATATCATATGCATCGCATGCATGCATGCATATGAAAGAAAATAAGTGTATATATATATACATATACATGCATACATGTACATACATGTTGGTATATGTGTTCACGTGCCGATAGAACATGGTGTTAATAGAAATTTAGGACTGTTTCACAAAATCGATGCACAGAGAATAATAACTGCATGTGTTCCTATGTGCAATGGGGATGCTTTGTACATGTAAACATGAAAAACATGCATGTACATATGTATATACCATTCTTGATTGCAATTGGATATCTTGCTGGTGATGAACCCAACCAGCCCAAGTGCAACAAACCACAAGTATTTCACAAAATCATTGCACTTAGAATATTCCTGCATGTAGTATGGTTGTATGTGTATATGTGCTCTAAATACCTACGTTAAGAATAGCACAATGTTTGCATATAGAATTTGAAATATTATATATGTATATATGAATGTATCATCCACAAAATGAAATGTTTCATAGCCAAACAATTCCAAATCAATCAAACAAATATAGATCTTTTACACAGGCCATGCACTTAGAATATTATGGAGTCTCAAGCCAGGGGTTGCTTTGCGAAAAAAAATGGAGGTGTTTCACAAATTTGATGCACTTAGAATATTCCCAAGATCATTATACATTTAAAATCATATATGTTTTGAATATTCTATCTGCGAATCCAGGCTTGCACTTAGAATATCCTCAGCAGGGAGCCCGCACCTAATTTTTTTGGCTGGAAGTTGATTGACTTAATATTCTAAGTGCGGGTCCTCTAGTATATATATATATATAAATACATAATATCTACAATGTGGGGCCCGCTAGTTATAAGTTGGTTTATAACACCATCTAACTAGTTCGTTATAACTACCATACACCCTAGTTATTGCAGTTATTTGGCCCAACTTAGCTATCATAAATCAGCTATAAATCCCATTAAACCTACATTTTCTTATGGTTTCCCATAAATCCCATTATAAACGGCCCAACTGAACGCTATCTTTTTTTGGGCCCCACATTGTACCATAGTCCCAGCCAGTTACCCTTGACCCTCCGCTGAGACATCCCCGTGGCCGAGCCACGATCGGTCTCCTTCTGCACGGCCCAACAAAGCGCTTCCGCCGTGCAGTGATCGGCTGCATCCACCTGCCAGGCGGGGATCACGGGGGAAATCCCATGGAAACATCGGGAAAAGTGGTGCTGAAACACCATGAAAAACCATGAGGAACACGGAAGATCGTAGTTCAAACATCAAACATGGTGGTGTTAATATCGTAAAGAACTAGTTTGAAACGGACTTATGAAGCCAATGCATGTTTTTGTTGGTGATAAATCAATATAAATATATATATATATATACACTGGTTGGTTGTTTCAACCATCTTGAGAAATATGAAAGTCAGTAGGAAGGATTATCCCATATATTTTCGAAAACAAAAACATGTTCCAAACCACCAACCAGTATATATATATGTATATACTGATTTATCAACATTCATCCCATTGCCCTAATCTCAAAAAGCACCCAATAAGCTGCCCGAAATTGGAGGCTGCAGAGTTCACCAAGTTCACCAACCGGTGGGAGCATCATGGAAATCATGGACATCAAAGAACCAAAAACCATGGCCCAACTAACAGTTATTTTTGTGGGCTTAGGAATCATGAGATATTTCAGCAACTAGTTATATAAGTTATGTTATTCCATTTATAACTGTTAGTTGGGCCCTGACTGCAGATCACCCGGATGTTGAAATGTTCATCAGATGTGACATATGATGTTATTGAAACTAAACCAGGTCCCAGGAAAACTGATGATCCTTGACTCTTTAACCAAACCTGTCTTTTTGACAAAAAAAGATTCGGGATTTCGAAGTCAAACGGGCTGTAATTCTGAAGAAAGTCTCATGTTTCTTCCGCTGCAGGGAGCACAGCTTTGGTGGATCGCGCTCTCAGGGCTGCAAAGCCAGAATGTAGATACTCGACCGGTTAAACAAGACCACCACTTTGACTGCTAAAAAAGCAACAAAAAAATTGAACGAAGGAAATCAACTTTTTGGCTGGTTAAGATTATTGAATCACCAGTTTGGCTGGTTAAACACAACATGTTTAATGGTGGTGACATGTTCCATCTGTGCCCATTCACAACCATTGTTACCCAGAGTTCTGTACATCGCCCCTTGAAATCCCATTGTCATAGTTACCCTCTGGTTTCATCAAGCGTGGCAATGGACAATCCCATACAAATGAAGGCCTTGATGGGAAATTCATATATAAATGATTACAAGGTGGTGCCCCATAGTTGGCTAAGTTGGTTTATAACTCCCATAACTATGGTTTATGGCAGACTTATATAACTATAGTTAATGGGGTTTATAAACCAACTTATAACTGGGGGGCCTCACATTGTATAAATGTGTGGTGTTCAATTGCAACGATTGATTACCTCAGGGTAAATCCCCATTTGAATACCAGTATTTAATACTATAATTCCCCAAGCCAATCATAAACCAGCAAGTAATCAAGACAGTCAGCTTCATCACATTTTCCCTTGCGGTAAATACTATAAACCCCCATGTACATTAATAAATCCCTCAGGGTAAATCCCCATTTAAACAAGTCAACTACATCCAATTCCTTATTACATGGCTATAATAATCATGAAGCAACGGGTTAAGTCAGACAAGTCCACATGAAAAAAACTATGATTTATAACTCCGGTCCCTATGATTTCGTGATTCAAATCCCTATTGCATCACCTGGTTGGTGGTATACCTACCCCAATATATTCCCAATATATTGAAACATAAAAAATGTGTCAAACCACCAAACAGTGACTATAGACTATAGTGGCTTATCAAATCACATAGTCATATAGCCATATCATGCCATATCTATGAATGTTAACCTATTAACTCGCATTAAACCCCATTAATAAACTCACTAAACAAGTACATTAGATTGTATAAGTAGCATTAAGAATCAATTAAATCGCACTGAATCCAATTAAACACTAATTTAATCCCATCAAATTCCATTAGAAATCAATTAGATCCCAAAATTCCCATTAAGAACCTATTGAGTCCAATCAATCCCATCAAAAGCTTATTCAATACCACTAAATCAAATTAAAAACACAGTAAATCAAAATTTTAATAGGATTATATAAACATCCATATCCCACTAAATCCTATTGAAAACCAATGCAAAACCAATTAAGTCCCATGAAATCCCATTTAAAAACCAAACAAAGCCAACTAAATCCTAATTGAAAACCTATTAAATACCATTAAACCCGTTAAAAACCAAGTAAGTCCCACTAAATTCCATTAAAAAACCAGTATATAAGTCCCATAAAATCCCATTAAAAACCCAGAAAGTCCCATGAAATCCCATTTAAAAAAAGTAAGTTCCACTACATTCCATTAAAAACTCAGCAAGTCCCATTGTACTCCGTCATTCTCTGCAGTGCTTTTCTCCTCGAAGCTGAAGTAGTGCGATGGCCATTTCATGAACCTAAATTGGTGGTACCTACCATATATAAGGCCTATTTTTTAGGCCTAAATTTCAGGGAATATCCCCAGAAAATATGGCCAGAAATATGGTACGTAAACACGTACCTCCATATATTGGATCCTGAAGATCTCCCATTGATAGTGCGATGTGCCCGAGGTATCTCGAGGTTTTCAATGTCTCTTGCGATATGGAGAACTTCAGAGAGTCAAGACCCAGTAAACCTTTCAAACCCATGAAACAAGCTTTAAAACACATTAAAAACCCAATAAATCTCACTAGTTCCCATCAAAATCGCATGAATTCCAATAAAACACAATGAAACCAATTAAAAACACATTAAAACCCATCAAAATCAACAATGAAACCCACTTGGTGGCTCATCCCACTTACTAAATGGGTTGTATCCCTAGTTATAAATAGGAAAAGTAATAACCCACTTACTAAGTGAGATGAGCCACCAAGCATTAAAACTACATTCAATCAATGGCCATTCAGGAACCTAAATTGGTACCTACCATATATAAGGCCTATGAAAAGGAATATCCCCATAAAATATGGTCTTATATGGTACAGTACCTCCATATATTGGATCCTGAAATTCCCATTGATACAGTATATATAATAGTAATAATGGTATAATGGGTTCACTATATCAGAAATAATATGGGTTTATAGATGTTTAAAGTGCATATATCACATTAGATCTAAATCACATTTAACTACGATCCTGAAATTCCCATTGATAAAGTGGACTGACCTTTTATTGGTCAAACATTCCATTAAAACACAATGAAACCCATTAAAATCACTGGTTGCTGGTTTCAACCCCTCTGAAAAATATGAAAGCCAGCTGGGATGATGACATTCCCAACTAATGGAAAGTCAATCCAAATTCCATGGTTCCAGTCACCACCAACCAGCTTTTTGTCACCAAACATAATGTTGTTTCCCAACTTTCTGGCAATGTTATGGCCAATGATGGGAAAATCATGGAACGTGATAATCTATGGCTATTTATAGACAACGTTATAGACAACCTTTACTAATTGGTGGTTTCAACCCCCCTGAAAAATATTAGTCAGATTGGATCATCATCCCAACTGATAATCTATGGCAACAACCCAAGAAACTTCCGGCACCTCGCCTCCTGAAGCACTCGCGCAGCTTCCGTGCGCACGATGCGATGCTCCGTTGGGTCCAACAGGACCTGGGCCGCGCTGGGCCGCGGTGGAGGTGCGCGGTGGATTGACACGAAACCATAGGAAAACCATACGGAAACCATAGGAAAATGGTGATTTAACTAGCAAAGATAAAGAAAAACAGTGGAAATAGTAGGAAAATGGTGATTTAAATAGCAAAGATAAAGAAACATAGGGAAATAGTTGATACATTGTGATTTAACGATAGAAACCATAAAACAAAGTTGCTGTGAATTCATGAGATTTATAGTGTGGCTGATTCATGATAGTCTGGTAGCAGAGTTTCATTGGTTGAAACTTTTCACGGGATATTCACCATGAAACATACAGATTTAACCAAACAATAAAAATGATGATACAGTAGGGATATAACCAACAACATTGATTAAGGATGGCAATGGAAACCATAGCTAAATAGTGAATTTCGTCAACAAATAAATGGAGAATGTTCATAGGATTGATAGCTGATTTATGATAGCCAATAGATTTGTATATTCATTGATCTTATAGATAATGTTCCTTCCAAAAATGTGTTCCTTGGTTTTCCATGTTGCCAGTATCAAATGGCTCCAAACTGATCCACACTTGTTGGAATTCCGTCGTACATCCAAAACGTCGCCCAGCTAACTATCGGATGCTACAGGTATATTCATCATAAACCCAACCATTATCCAAGTCAAATCCATCAACTTATCTATTGGTTGGGAGCCGGCATGGTAATCGTCCCCTGTTATCATTTATCTCCTCAAGACTGGATGTATCTCGTGTATCTGCTGATGATGATACCCCCGCGTCAGCCTAGCCTACCAAACAACAACCACAAAATGCTGGTCAACAATCCACCTGAAACTATTTTTGGTATTTCCCCACCCCTGTTACTATAAGTATGATATATGTATTCGTATTAAAATATAGTTACATGAAACATATTAGCATTTGCGCACATATGTAAAAAAAGACACATAAATAATATATATATATATATCCTGAAACAGATATAATATGGATTTTCAAGTGGATAATGTTTGACATTGTCATATTCTACGTGCTCCGGGATGACTATAAACATGTATATATATATATACCCTCTGGTAAACTGTTACATAACTATTGAACATCACTATTTTTAATGGGTAAATCCACTATCAATCACGATTTCCACTAGCTTTTTGTTAACGTTTACCATAGGGTATAGCAGAGAAATGACTCCAGTTGCCCCAGCCCCACCTGGCAACACAGCTTCGTCACTTTCGCGACGCCGACGCCGCCCTGCGCAGCGTTGCCTCTTTGGGACTTCGCCGCGCTTTGCGTCATCTTCAGGGCGCTCAATGCCCTCCTCAGGTGGAAGAAACCCAACATTTACCCTCTGGTTATTTAACATATCCATGGAAAATCACCATTTTTTTTGGTAAACCATCTGTAAATAGGCCATGTCCCATGGCTATGTTAAATAACCAGAGGGTAGATGGGATTTCACCACAGAAAAAAAAGTGATTTAAACATGAACAGTTTGAGGTAAAAAGATGACTTAAACATCGGGGATTGAACTATCAAACATGGTGATTGAACATTGATTTATGATGGAAAAATAGGTGTATAACTACAATACTTAGAATTCATTGTCAATATAGTTGAATGGGTTTATAAAGAAACTTATAAAAGGGAAGCGAAAGGAGATATGGTAAGAACCAAAAACATGATGATAAACATATGTATCAAGCAAAAGAAACAAACACACAAAAGAGATCTGATTCCAAACTATATATGGTGATGCAACCAAAAACAATATTACATGAGAAATATGAACTGTCAAGCCTGGTGATGCAACCGGCTTGTGGTTAAGCCACCCATGAATATATCAGGCACTTGGAGTTCACTCTTCGACAGAGATTGAATGTCTCTTTCTTTCTGAGGTCCTTGAGCTTGGGCTGAGATACAATCTCCTTGTAGGTTTCATGTTGTGAAAGCCTGTGACCGAGCTGCCTTTTGCCGAGGCCATACATCCCATCACAATACTGGTGATGTAGAGATGTCGGACAGTTCAATCCAGCACAGCACACTGGTTGCGGGGCACCATAGTTGTAAGTTGGCTTATAAAGCCAATGAATACTATAGTTGTTTTCATTACCATAAATCCAATAGTGAAACTGGAGATATTTGCCCCGATTTGGCTATCGTAAACGGGGGACCCACCTTAGATGATTTGGTTTGCCAGCATTGATCGGCCTTGACCATGGGGCCATGGGGCTCCGCAACAACGAAAAGACAGTGTGCCAGTGCGCGAGTTTTTTTGCATTTGCATATTTATGGGCCAGCGCAAAAAAACAACACACACGGGACTGTGCCCTAACTCGATGGATTATCTACAGGATGCGCGGTTTTTACCATCAAATATGGGTGTTCCTGAAAATTCTCGCTGCCAAGTCTGGGACGAAATTCACAAAGAGAGTTCCGTGGAGTGGCCGGCAGCAACTCCGAACTAACAGCTATGGTCCAGAAAAAAAAATGCGTTTGGACTTTTGGACGCACCAATAGTTGCCTTTATTGGCATAAACTAAGTCGAATCTTAAACCATCCATGTGTTCAGGGGTCAGCTGGACTTGACTGAGTTAGATTTGATGAAGTGTTGGTTAGATGGGTTAAAAATAGTTTAATGATATAGGTATACTCTTGGTCAATATCTAACTGATGATGATTTCTTTTTTGAAAAAAAACTCATATCTAATATGCGTTGGTTAGGCAATAATAGATTAGATGAGTTAGATTCGTACTAACATTCAGATTTTTTCCCGAGAGCGTCTGAGCGCAGGGTTCTTCCAATAGTGGGGGTCTGTATCTCATCTTCTCATCTTCACACCTTCTCATCTTCACACCTTCTCTCACATCTTCTCATCTTCACACCTTCTCATCTTCACACCTTCTCATCTTCACACCTTCACATCTTCTCATCTTCACATCTTCTCATCTTCACATCTTCTCATCTTCACATCTTCTCATCTTCACACCTTCTTCTTCACCTCTGCACATCTTCACATCTGCTCACGCCTTCTCATCTTCACATCTGCTCATCTTCACATCTGCTCATCTTCACATCTGCTCATCTTCACATCTGCTCATCTTCACATCTGCTCCTCTTCACATCTTCTCATCTTCACATCTTCTCTCCTTTCTCTCTCCCTTTTCTCTCTCTCGCCTTCTTTATCTTTCTCTCTTTAGGCCGAGGGTGGTGCCGGCGGGGAGTCACGAAACGTCAACCCTTTCGCACGAAATGAGGATCGATCGTCAAAAACTGAAGTAAAATTGCGGTTTTACGTGCCCCGGAGCAACCCTTTCGCACGAAATGAAGGTCGATCGTCGAAAACTGCGGTAAAATTGTGCGACTTTACGTGCCCCGGAGCAACCCTTTCGCACGAAATGATGGTCGATCGTCAAAAACTGAAGTAAAATTGCGATTTTACGTGCCCCGGAGCAACCCTTTCGCACGAAATGAGGTTCGATCGTCAAAAACTGAAGTAAAATTGCGGTTTTACGTGCCCCGGAGCAACCCTTTCGCACGAAATGAGGTTCGATCGTCGAAAACTGCGGTAAAATTGCGATTTTACGTGCTCTTTCGCACGAAATGAGGTTCGATCGTCAAAAACTGAAGTAAAATTGCGATTTTACGTGCCCCGGAGCAACTCTTTCGCACGAAATGAGGTTCGATCGTCGAAAACTGAAGTAAAATTGCGATTTTACGTGCCCCGGAGCAACTCTTTCGCACGAAATGAGGTTCGATCGTCGAAAACTGAGGTAAAATTGCGATTTTACGTGCCCTGGAGCATCTGTGTAAAAGTGTTTGTGTGTAAAAGCTTCTGTGTGTAAAAGTGTTTGTGTGTAAATTGGTTTGTGTGTGCGAGTGTTTCTGTGTAAAGATGTTTGTGTGTAAAAGTGTTTGTGTGTAAAAGTGCATCTGTGTAAAAGTGTTTGTATGTAAAAGTGTTCGTGTGTCAAACGGCCTCTGTGTCAAAGCGTCTATATGTAAAAGCTTCTGTGTGTAAAAGTTTTTGTGTGTAAAAGCGTCTGTGTGTAAAAGTGTTTGTATGTAAAAGCTTCTGTGTGTAAAAAAAAATTGTGTGTAAAAGCGTCTGCGTGTAAACGCTTCTGCGTGTAAAAGCTCCTGTGTGTAAAAGGGTCTTTGTTAAAAGTGTCTGTGTGTAAAAGTGTCTGTGTGTAAAAGTGTCTGTGTGTAAAAGCATCTGTGTAAAAGCGTATGTGTGTAAAAGTGTCTGTGTGTAAAAGCTTCTGTGTAAAAGCGTATTTGTGTAAAAGCTTCTGTCTGTAAAAGCTTCTGTGGGTAAAAGCTTTGTGTGTAAAAGTGTCTGTGTAAAAGCGTCTGTGTGTAAAAGCTTCTGTGTGTGAAAGTGTCTGTCTGTAAAAGCTTCTGTGTGTGAAAGCTTTTGTGTGTAAAAGCTTCTGTGTGTAAAAGCTTCTGTGTGTAAAAGTGTTTGCGATGCAAGCTATTGTCTTGCACTTCTGCTATTTTGTCTTAATACTCCTCTTCTCGACTGCCTATAGCACATCTTTAATATATTGTTTCTAATATGGTGTCTCCATACTAACAAGAGAAGACCCTGCTCCTCTACGCTCTCGGGCCATCCGTCGTCTAGTAATAGTTTTTACTTGGTGGCTCATCCCACTTACTAAATGGGTTATATCCCTGTAGTTATAAGTGGGATAAGTATAGAGTTAATCTACTTACAACTAAGGTGAACTAACCTACTTGGGTTATAACCGTTATAACCTACTCACAAACTGAGATGAGCCACCAAGTACCCTATCCATTACAGTTTAATATCTCTTACGTCTCCCCATCGCGGGCCGGGCGATGCCTCCGCTCTTGTGCTGTTTTCGCTCCGCTGTCGAAGAGTTCCAGTTGGAGTTCCACGAGCCTCAGCGTTGCGAAAGCACCCTGCCTGAATTTTTCTGGCTTCACCAAACAAAAACGAAACCATACACTTGTGGCCCAATGAACAGTTATTTTTATGGGCTTATTTCAAGATCTATAACCTAATTAGTTTTGGGAGTTATTTCATTCCATTTATAACTGTTAGTTGGGCAATAATTGTGACGGAACCAATGTGATTTCACGAAACATTTCACGGGGAAGTTGGGGCAAACACCGGTTTTTGTTGCTGGGGTTTATGGTAGATAGATCTATAGTAGCTCTAGTTCATAGGGTTTATGAGCCGACTTAAAGTAATAGCCGAACCATTAGCGTGTTCCACTCAGAGTCTCTTGCTTCCAACGGCATATCCTCATCACTGACTTCTGAATCACTGTTGACCCAGCCTGCATCCACACATGCGACTGTACAGCAGCACGAGCAATGGTGGTGAAACTGAAAAGTAAATTCCTTTACTAAAAAGATCCAAAAAGGACATGTTATCCCTTTTTGGCAGTGGCTATGGGTCAAAACCCTGGTACCTAGTAAACTTCAAAATAGCTTGTAAATAGATGTTCATCCCACTAAAATTGATAGTAATAGGTTTTGACATGTTTTGACCCATTCCCATGTCATCATGCCCATCTATGCCCATCTCGCTTTGCCCAGTTCCAATTGATGGCCTCCCTCCAATATCGTTGATTTTTGTTCACCCCGGTGATGTTTGTTGGTTTATAAGCCCCAGTAACTAGTTCGTTATAAATAGCATAAACCATACTTATTGGACTTATTTGCACCAACTTAGCTATCAAACGGGGGCCTCACATATATATATATATAGATATATAATATATCCGATAAATATAATGATATATCTATCATAAATATCCAATATTCGATGGGTACTGTAGCCTAGGTGTAAACCGCTCAGCTCACTGCAGGAAGTCAGAAAAATCGGAGACTTACTACCCGGTGGCACTACCTACGAGGTGGTACCTCAAACGATAGCGAAGTTTGTTTACAAACGAGATTCATCTATGGTTTATGGTAGATATATAGTATTCATGGGGTTTATGAACCAACAAACATCACTTGGGTAAAACAAGTCCTGGCAGATTTATTTCTTTCCCCCTGGAGGTTTGTCCAAGGATTAGGTTCCCAATAATGGTTTATCCTCTCGTTCATCATTAGCATTTCAAATAGGTAATTAAGTCATCATAAATCAAACTATGTTGAATACATATATATATATATATATATACATATGGTTACAGTTATTTTGACATGGAAAATGACATTTTTTAATGGGTACATCATCATAAATCATCCATAAATGGGCCAGTTTCGATAGCTACGTTAAAGGGCAAACCGTCATTTGTTCAATGGACAAAGC